GCACTAAAGCGACATATCCCCATGCTAGTGCTGGTGGTCCCCGTGCTGTTGCTGGTGGTTCTTGTGCTGCCCATCGCCATGATGATCAAGGATCATCTGTTGTCGCTCCTCCTCCTGCTCCGGCCTCTATTGGGGATGTTCGATTATTGATGCAGAAGAAGAAGCTCTTGAGCGTGCCGACCGCATCATTGCTGCTCCACTTGTTCGCACCCTGACTCGTGGCCCGGGCTTCATCACTAAGCTTGTTCCCTTCTCGGGCGTTTCGCCAATCATGCGGGAGCCCGCCATGGCTCCTAATCCTGCTGGTGGCTGGACTCCTCCTCTACCAGTTGACTACCATCACCGGGTTAGGGACATTAGGTCCATGAGGGGAAGAAACCTTTATGCTGAGGACGAGAAGGATCTCCACCTTGAGTATTGCTTCTGGCACCCGTTCCATTATGACTTTTATGATTCTATCATCTATCTGAAGTTTTTGAAGAAGAGGGAGCCATCGGTCCTTCAGATGAAATGCATTTATGCCTACTCTCTTGGATTGTTCAAGGAGCCCGAGCTGGAGTAGATGGTTCATGATATACTCTCAATGGGGCTGTCCTTCTTGCTAGAATTTAGGAAGCATTGGAACAATGAGCTTATCTATCAGTTTTATGCTTCCTACCACCATGAGAGAGACCCTACCGGTGCTATTGACTTTATCCATTAGACCACTGAAGGCAAGCACTATAAGGTGGACTTCATTACTTTCTCTCACCTTCTTGGTTTGAGTTAGGCCGACCACACTGCACCTGAATTGACTGAGTATGAGGATGTGGCTTTGGAGGAGTACCAGCTTATGTATCTTGATGGACATACAGCTGATGGACAGACAGTGTATCTGAAGCCCTACTACTATGTCCTCAATAACATTCTGAGACAGATCTTGTATCCGAAGCGATGTGACTCCACCTTCCTTCGTGATGATTCTCAGAAGGTGCTTCAGCAATTTGGAGATGATTTTTAGGAATTTTCCATCAGCCGATACATTTGGAACAAGATACATGATGCTACTGAGGATCCGGTGAAGCATCTTCCGTATGCCCCATACATTATACATGTGATTGAGCAAGTGTCCGGCATCCAGTTCCCCATAGACACTCAGCACAATCTCCTCGATATCTCCAACAAGACATCCATCACAGCTACAAAAGAACTGAAGATGAAGGGTGATGCAGCCAAAGCCAAAGGCAAAGGTGTTTTGGGTTCTCGCTCTTGTCGTGGTGCTTCACCACCTGCTGCTGCTGCTCACTCTTCTAGTGTCGAGCCCCTCTCTTCTTCCTCCTCTGGTAAGAAGCCCAACAAGTTCAAGTTCCTCATGACCTACATGTTTGGACAATGTTGTGCTAGTGCTCAACGTGAGCATGATATGTAAGAGAGGCTCTATCGCTTAGAATAGCAGGCAGGCATTGTGTCTTCTCCTCCACTGTTGTTTGTGCCTCCACGTGATCCTTTGGCTCTCTATGGTGAGGCTTGTGCGGCATATGAAGATGATGCGGCTTCTTGCCCTCATGGCAAGGGCAAGGCTACTGAAGAAGATGAGGAATACTTGGAGGAGGAGGATGATGAAGACGACGATGCTAGTGAACAAGATGATGATGATGACTACAACGAAGAGTAGTTGGTTCTTCATGCGGCCTACCCCTTTTGGCACTTGTTGACAAAGGGAGAGTGTTAGGCTTTGATCCATCTTGTAATAAGTTAGTTGGTCATTTAGTTTCGAGACTTAAAACGTTTAGCTTGTGTGAACTATGTCGTGTGGTGGCTACTAAGTGATGGACAACCATTTATATGTGTTTGTGGTGAATGATTGTAGGACAAGTAAATGGTTTTCTATCTATCTTATTAGCTTGTGCTTGTGTCTACTTGTGATGGTGGATGTATTTTGGATGGCCATGTGTTGCTTCAAGTTTTTACTTTGAAATCTTGGCCATCATATTCTCTTTTTACTTGTTGTGTGAAATAACATGTCATATTGCATTTCTTTTCATGGATATATATTTGTTCACACACTTGTTGCACTCCACGGATTGTAAAATTTAGGGGGGCTTTTGTCTTGATGCATGCAAATCATGTATTGATGATTCTAATTGAAATTTAAATTCATGCATACATCAAGGGGGAGCTCTTCATAAATTTTGGATTTCAAAAACTTTAAATTCTTTCATTCTTATAAAAGCCTAAGTTGGTTGTCATCAACTACCAAAAAGGGGGAGATTGAAAGTGCATTTGCCCCCTATGTGAGTTTTGGTGTATTGATGACATCTAAATTAGGGACTAATGTGATCTTAATGAGATATATCGTGGCTATTAGTCCCATGAAAGATTCAAAGAGTTGATAAAGATGAAATGGTATCCCTCAATTCTTGAAGTTGTAAAGGCGGACGAACTCAAAACGCTTTTCAAAGGTTTTATTTTTGTTTTTGAGTTTAGGATCCGCTGCGCTATAAAAAGAGATGCAAACTTAGTTGGTCTGAGAAAGATAGAGTGCTCAAACATAAAAATAAAATCAAAAGAGAGACACTCTAGCACTCTACAAGCACATAGAATATTTTTTGTGACTGTCGGTGTCGGAAGTCCCGACGTAAGCCGGAACTTCCGACCATCGGAAGTCACGACTCATGCCGGAAGTCCTGACACCCAGTCACTTAACCTGCGCGGTGACTGTGGTCGTCGAAAGTCCAAACATGAGTCGGAACACCCGACAGTCGGAAGTCCCGATACCTGTGCTTCTGCTGGTCGGTTGTCTACGCCCGTCGGAAGTCCCAACCCATGTCGGGAGTCCCGACACCTGGGGCGTTGCTGGTTGGTTGGCTATCTGCGCACATCGGAAGTCCCGACCGTTGGAAGTCCCGACGTTTGTCGGGAGTTTCGACATTGACTTGCACGTGCGGACTTCTGCCCCTGTGTGAACAGTGTTTTATGTTAACGTCGGAAGTCCCGAGATCTGCGTCGGAACTTCTGATGTAGATCTGAACGGTTAGATTTCTACTAAGAGTATAAATTGCCCTCTCTTCGCTTCTAACCGTTACGAACTCATTCACAGCTCACCCAACTTCGTCCTAACGGCTTCCAAGCAACAAAGGCACCCCTCTCCTCCCCTTTTGCTCCAATCTTCGATTCCCTTAGGGTTTTGAGTGAAAGGAGAGTGAATTAAGTGAGAGAATCACTTTGGCAAACTTGAGCACTTTATTTCTTTGTCAAGCCGGTTGGTTTTGCGTCTATTACTCTTGGGGCTTTGCCTCTAGCCGGCTAGGCGTTGCCTAAGAGCTTCCATCTTGTGGAAGAGCCTTGAGAAGTTTGTATCACCCTTGATTTCTTAGTAGAAAACTCAAGTGTCCTTTGTGGTCGCTTTGAGAGAGGTAAGGAGTTGAAAGAGACTCTGACCTTTGTGGTCACCTCAACAACGAGGACGTAGGAGCTCCTTTGTGGGGTTGCCGAACCTCGGGATAAATCCTTGTGTCCCGTATGCTTGTTGTTGTGATTGCTAGATATTATTTGTATTTGTTTGTCTCTCTCTCAAACTTTATTTTAGGGTTTGGACTCGATCTACGATTTGGAGGCATTACGGCGTCAAGGGAGTGACCTAACATCTTCACCAAACCACGAGGAAGTGGGGGTTGTAGGATTATTTATCCGCAAAGTTAAATTTGGCACTGCTTTTGTAGTTTATGTAGGCGTTGGGACTGCTGACGTTTGTGTCGGAACTTCTGACAACGTCGGGAGTTCGACCCAAACGCCGGAGGACTTCGACATTGACTGACAAATTTGAACTTAGCATTTACAGTTAATTTTTAGATACGTCTATTCATCCCCTCTAAGCATTGTTAGATTCTTTCACGGTTTCGATTCTAGTTCTTTTGGTTCAGTTTCTGTTAATTATGTCCACCCTGAGTTTTGTCTATATTTCTAATTTTGAATTATTTAGAGACCTTTTACTTTGCAACTCATATAAAATATCTGGTTAATTTGATTATCTATACTTTGTAATTTATTTGATTTTGATCTAATGGTCATGACAATCGAGCGTGTTTCATGATTAGAAACACTCGATTTTGTTCCTACTCTCAATCGGGTGTTTATGTGAGATCCAATACTTGGGTGTCAGATGCCTCAAAACGCCCAAGTGATGAGTAGACAACTTCAAGAGTATTCAACGTGCCTAACCTCACTTTTAATAGAATCAGAGACCCCTGTAAATAAGAAAACTTCTACTCTTTTAGCTATACGCTTGATGTATAAACATGTTCACATCTTCTTAGAGCGTATTGCAACTTGGCATCGGAAAAACGTACAGGTTACAACACCATACTATATGAGGAGGAGACAAAGGGAATCTGAAAACAAGCCTGGAAATTACTGCTCCTCTGGTACACCTCTCTGAGATAGGCAAAGTATTATCGTAAATTCGTGTTTTTCTGTGAGTCACAGGCTCACAGCAGCAACGAACAAAAGCTACGGTAATCACTTTTTTAAGGCCTCTTGGAATGAAGAATTTTCCCTTATTTCTATTTTTTCCTTACACTGATTTATATAAAACTTTTACATATGCCAAGGAGTTTTATACTCGGATAATGTAAAAATTTTACAGGAAAACAGAGCAGGAAAACAAGCAGCAGCGAACCAGCGACGAAACAGCCAGCCAACCGAACAGGCTGAAGGCTGGGGTCAGGACGCCGCGCGCAGACGCGGCGGAGCCGCCGCCGCAGCAGCTCGGATGCCGGCGTTGGCAGGTCGGACGCCTCCCCTTATCCCCTCCGGCGGGCCCCGCACGCTCCGTCCCTTGCGGACTCCGAGACCTGCGGGTCACTCCCATCGCTCTCCCGGTTGCATTGGCCCCAATCCAAACGCCAACGGCCTTCCTCCATTAAAGACCTCCTCCACGGCTCCACCACCACCGCCTCCCCGATTCCACTCCCACGTGCTGCTCCACTTGCGCCGCCACGTCACCCCTCTAGGCTGTGGCCATGGGGACGTCGGGGTCCAAGAGCATCGACGGCGTGGGCGCCGTTTCGGGCGTCGGCGCGGCGGCGGCGGGGCTGGGCGGCGCCGGCGGGGAGGGCGGGGAGGGCGGCGAGGGCGGCGCCGCGGAGGCGTGGCACGGCGGGGCGCAGCTGTACGTGTCGCTCAAGATGGAGAACGCGGAGATCAGCGGCGACCTCGTCCCGCACGTCTACGGCTCCGAGCCCATCATCGGCACCTGGGACCCCTCCCGCGCCGTACGCACGCACCGCACTGCCACCCCACCCGATGCTTGTGCTCTTTGCTCCGCTTCTGGAGCTTGCGCTCTCGCTCGCGCCGCGGAAATGATCCCGTTGCTGCTGTTTGGGTTTTGCAGCTCGCCATGGAGAGGGAGCTCGCGTCCATGTGGGAGCTCAGCTTCGTCGTGCCACCGGACCATGGTACGCTGCCTCCTCGTTGCTGTCCTGTTCCGCTACTCAGTTAACTATGGCTTCAAATTGGTTGTTAGCGTTTGTTTCCTAAGTAGCTGTTTCTTTACCCTTTTGTTTGACCTTTAACGATCTTCCTGTCCTTTTATCGTGGTCTTTAGTTTTGTTAAAGTCTGTTACCTTTTTTTCCCCATTATGTCTCTGATCCACCTACAAAATTGAAATGTCAAACTCTTATGAAAACGGTACATGGATTGTCCTGAATGTATCATTATGTGGACTTGCTGTAGAAACACTGGACTTCAAGTTCTTGCTGAAGCCCAAAGATGCCGAAACCCCATGCATCATAGAGGAAGGGCCCACGCGGCTCCTCACCGGAGGCATGCTCGAGGGTGATGTGAGGGTTGCGCTGTTCAAGCTCAATGGAGATGATGAGGTGCTCGAGTTCAGGGTGTTCAACAAGGCAGACCTTGTGTCACCGCTCGAACTTGCTGCGAGCTGGAGGGTGTACAAGGAGAACTTTCAGCCTTCCAAAGTCCGGGGGATCCCTGATATCAGTATCAATGTCGCGCCCACTAATGCCACTGAGGTAATTGTATTTGTGCTTGATACTGTATGCTTCCCTGTGGTGGTGGTGGATGCATATGGTTGCAAAGTTCCGTGTCTTCTTTGTTCAACATGGTAACTGCCTTACCAATATCTTATTCTCTAAAGCAATACAATTAGAAGGGGATATCTGCTTGTCCAAATGGCATGTCATTTGATAGCAAGAAAATCAGCGGATTCTTTTTTGTTACTGTTTGGTTTTCGTCCTTACCGTTTGGCAACCTTCTTTATACTCTTTTTTCTATATCCTAGACCTATAAAAAGAATATCTCCTTACCATTTTCTCATCCTTTTCTACTCATTATTCATGCACTTATTGTTATAATTGCATGCTGACGCCAAGCTAATTTGTGTTGTGGTTTCTCACAGGTTTCTGTTTCTTGTCTTTCTACAGGAAGGATCAGCGGCTACTTTGGAACTTGACTTGGAACACTATGTTGTTCCGTCCCCGCCAACTGCGCCACCAAATGGATATGCTGCAAACCTTGCTGCGACTCCAGCATCCATGATTCAAACTGGGGCATTGTGGACAAATGATGTCCTTCTAAGTGATGGGATTCAGAGTCCAAGTAGTGTTTCTGCAAAATTAGAAGATCGTAGTAACGACAAGAAGGTTGGCTGTTATCTGGAAAAGTTGGTGTAAATGACAAATTCTAAGTTCTATACCTGAATTTTATCCTTCTACCATCATGGAATTAGTCCGGTCTTAGTTGGTTATCATTTCATACAATGAACTATAATTGCTCTGACTTGCACATATTTGATACCTGTATTGCATGCTTTTTTAATTACTTATATTCTGTATCTCTGTAAATCAAAATGCTATTGAAAATTAACATGTTTCTTCTATAGAATATTGAGGCCTGGGCAACAGATTCTTCTAAGAATTCTGGACTCATTGAATCAAAATCAGTTGGCACCTTTACACCACTGCAAAAGCTAGATGGTCAAAAGGGGCTGTTCGTTGACAGGGGTGTTGGCTCTCCTATGCTTCCAAAATCAGCAAGTGCATGCTCCCTGGCATCTGGGTTTAGTTTTGGATCAGCAAAGGTCAGCATTGTTTATCTCCTTTACTAATAGTAGGTAAAAAGAATAGAGAGTTGATGGCTAGGTTCAGAAAGGTTTTGAATTCAATTATCATTGTAGGATCATGGTCAATTTGGAATCATCATAATCAATGTGTCTTCAACGGAGCTTGTCCTAGTCTAGCTGGAGTGTTATCATTCATTAGTGAGGAGTTGTTGTAGGGAATGGCTGCGCTTGAGGTATCTCACGTGTCCTTACCATTGCGCCAGAAGAGGGTTAATATGCTAGGTCGAGGTCGTGTTCTTGTAATCACAGGCGCATGTGTTTTTGTCTTTTAAGAGTGAGTGGGCCGTATGGGTTTCTCCAAACCCCTTTTTTCTTCTTCAGAATTTAATGCTTCACAGAGATAGTATTTTGATATAAATCAACATGACTCTAGTTCAATTAATTAAATGGGCATTGATGATTGATGTGGTTTGAGAAAAGAAATCTAGAATGAAGTTTGTATTTTATTTTTTGACTATTGTTGACATTTCTACAGACAATGCCAGAAGCAGCAGGAGCTGTTGCAGCTGCAGCTGTAGCTGATCGGTTGCATGGGTCAAAGGAGGACGGGAAGCTGGCCATTGTTTTGGTAAATAATAGTTGAAATCGTGTGATATAATTTTAAACATTCTTCATCTCTTATGTGATTTGAGTGTTTCTTTGTGATCCTTTTGTCAACAAGATAAGCAAACTTTGCTTGTTACACTTTGCTACCTACCATGTCCTTTTTAGTGTCTGGATGAATTTAAATAGATGGGTTTTTATGGAAAACTAAATTGAATTTTGAGTTGTATTGTACTGGTGGTGGGTGTCTGTGAACAGGACCATCAATACACTGTGCATTTTGTGTTTCACACTGCTAGGTAAGCATTGCCCGTTTAAGCATATAAGTGAACAAAACAAATAATTAGGAATCTTATGTGATGTGATACATTTTAACAGAGTATTACAGAAAGTAAGAATCTAAATCTCCTAAGTTTCAATCCCGAATCAGCACTTGCCAGCCCTCTTGAGAAAGTACATCTTTCTTGCTGCTGAACATAAAATGGTCAAATGCTTATCTGCTTGAACATGTTCCTAAATTTTTCTTCAGTGCTTGTTTCCAAAAGTTGGATCTCCATCTGAAAATATTTACTTCCGTATCAGGTTGGCCTACCAGCTCGTGGTAAAACCTTCACTGCAGTTAAGCTTACAAGGTACCTTCGTTGGTTGGGTCATGAAACTAGACATTTCAATGTTGGGAAGGTAACCATATTCTTACTCCAATTAACTGCCTTGCATAGTCAATATGTTTACTTTTCTTACTTGCAAAATTAACTGAGCTTTCTTTTGTTGAAAATGTGTGTGCAGTATCGCCGTCTGAAGCATGGAGCAAATCAGGTGAGAACTACAATTGTTGTAGTTCTGTTAGTGGAAAACCTGCAATCTATGCGTTGTTAAGTGTTATCATTGTCAAGTTTCCTGTTTTTTAGCTAGAATACTAGACACCTAATAATAAGTGTATAAAATCATGCTTGGAATGCATTTTAAAGGGATAAGTTTAGCATGCATGCATGTATTGTACTTGCACATCCTGTTGGAGTTTTCAATACCATTATCTGAGCCTATGTCAGTAAAACTAATATCCTGTTCTAGAGCGATGTAACATTTTTTTTTTGCATTTTTATTGGCTCAGCCTGCAGATTTTTTCCGTGATGATAATCCTGAAGGTATTGAGGCACGTAATGAGGTTAGCACACCTTATTGACTATTATGCATCTATTACCAAGTATTTCAAAATTGTGTTCCTACCATTCAAAAAGTGTCATCATAGGCCATCTTCTGATTCATCAGTACATGCTCATATATTTTCAAGAAAAAAGCCTTGTGATCTTTTCACTGCTCTCATTTTAAAATGCATTGGTAATCATTACTGCCTACCTTACTTAAGGTATCAGGCCCTATCTGGAACACCCGGAGTTTTCAGACTCCTGGAATTGAACCGTATCCTCTGAAGTGTTGCGAAATTTCTCAAAAGTCAAAACCTTTTGTGTTCTAAACTGGATATTGTAGGGTTACCCTGGTAAATTAAGCAGAAATCAATGGAGCAGAAGTTTATTAATGGCTTCTATAAAAACTTGTTGTAGTGTTTAAATGCCTCAAAATTGTGATTTGTAGTCAGTGCAATATGTCCCCTGCATCTTTTTTCAATGGTTACACTTCGCCATTAGCTATAATTATGGGACTTAGGTTTTGCCCATAGATTCTCTTCTTGAAGGTTCTACCAAGGACAGGATGTCAAGTTAGCACCCTAGATTGTCAGAAGTCTAATGTGATTTTGTGACAACCAACCCTTAAAAGTAGAATATTGAAACTTAACTGTATCTTTGTTTCAGTACATTACTTGCAACTTGCAACATTATTCTTCTGGTGTACTGTTACCAGGTGGCTGCTTTAGCAATGGAGGACATGATAGATTGGATGCGTGGTGGAGGTCAGGTAAGTTGGTGTTGCATAGCCTGCATGAAATAATGAAATGTTGCACTCAATCTGACCGGTTCAACTTGTCTCTAGGTTGGTATATTTGACGCAACAAACAGCACAAGAAAGCGAAGATATATGCTAATGAAAATGGCTGAAGGTAACTGCAAGGTAATTGATAGCATTCGTATTTACATTGGGTATGCTTCTTTTATATTTGCATATTTAAGCATCTTCAGCTAAAATTATTTCACATCTATGGAAGTCAGCACTAAGCAGAATACACTGTGGTACTTGAAGTTTATCTAATAATTTAACCATGTGCCTTGGTGCATTTTGTACATATGCGTTTATAATCTTGACCTTCTCATAATGATTGAAGTCACTTTCTGCAGATTATATTTCTGGAGACAATATGTACTGATCCAAACATAATCGAAAGAAATATACGGCTGAAGATCCAACAAAGTCCAGATTATGCTGATCAGTGAGTTTCCCAACATTGACCCTTTATTAGATAGAAGTAAATTGCTGCCTGAATCGTGTCGAAATGTTGCAGGCCAGATTATGAAGCTGGACTGGAGGACTTCAAGGAACGTTTGATCAATTATGAAAAGGTTTCAACTATTTATGCTCGGATGAAGTGCTACATGCTAAGTAAAATTATTTAGTTCTTTGAACTATTTGGTCTTGAATCAATTAACATTCCTTTTGCAGGTCTATGAGCCAGTAGGGGAAGGTTCTTACATCAAAATGATTGACATGGTAAAGGGGCAAGATGGGCAGTTACAGGTAAGCTCTTCCATACCTTTGCATATTCTACAGCACATGAATCTACATTAAGAACTTTTACATGCCTATGTGGCAGAAGGATCAATCGCATGGGTACAAGTTTTTGTTTAAATGTGTAATCGGATACCTCTGGAAATACTTTAATATGAATATGATGTTGTGCAAAATAGCCCATATTTAGATAAGTTATTTACACATAACATGGCAATAATATTTGGTATGATATGCTTTCAGTTTTTGAATCTTGAGATTCTATGTTTTGTTTAGTGTTTCTTCATTTGTAAGTTATACTTTTCTGACCTTGTACCCAGGTAAATAATATCAGCGGTTATCTCCCTGGGAGGATTGTCTTCTTCTTGGTATGTATTTCTAGACTCATACTATAAATAGCTGCTCGCACTTTCTGTGTAAGCGTAATATCTGCATGTTCTAACAGATGCACATATTTAAATGTCTGCTTCAAGTTTATTTCCACGAGTGTATTCAAACTAATTGGTGACACATCTCCTTGCATTATGCTACTGCAGGTGAACTCTCATCTTACACCACGGCCTATTTTGCTTACCAGGCATGGTGAGAGTTTACATAACGTTAGAGGAAGAGTCGGTGGTGATACAGTTCTAAGGTTTGCTTTCCCTAAGTTTTAATCTAACACCTTCAGATGATACTTTCTGCACTTAGTATGTCATTTTGAGTTCTGTGAGTAAAATATTAAAATTCTTGGTAAATTTTTTTCATTTTATATACATTTAGTTATTGCACTGGTAAACAAAGTACCATGTAAATATGTCGGTCTTATTGGAATTATATTTCTGTATTGATTGAGCTAATAAATTCCTCTTTAACTGCCTGATTATGGTGTGCAGTGAAACTGGAGAACTTTATGCAAAGAAACTAGCCAACTTTATAGAAAAGCGGCTCAAATATGAGAAAACAGCAACTGTAAGTAATTTCCCATGATTTAATGATGGATGTAGCCAGCATAACATGGGCTGAAAGAGATGTTTTAATTTGTAATTATCCAATTATTTAGATATGGACCAGTACACTTCAGAGAACAATTTTGACAGCAAGTCCAATTGTTGGATTTCCCAAGGTATTTGGTTGGACGATTTAGGAGTCTTCTTAAAGAGCTCTTGCTAAGTAAGTACACCAAGATTGTTCGACTTGTGTTGTTTGTAGATACAATGGCGTGCTCTTGATGAAATCAATTCTGGAGTTTGTGATGGGATGACTTATGAAGAGATAAAGAAAAATATGCCTGAGGAATTTGAGTACGTATAATAATTTTTTATTGGCACCTTGTGCATGGGATATCCGTTACTTACCATTCATATGAGGTGTCAGACCAATATATTATTTCCATGCTGTGCAAATTAAGCAAAAACAGAAATGAAATTGACAGTATTCTTTTTGGCACAGTACTGAATATTTGGATCTCAAAAGACAACTGTGAATGCTTGTTTCAACCAGGTCACGCAAGAAGGACAAGCTAAGATATCGCTACCCCCGTGGAGAATCTTACCTCGACGTGATACAGAGGTCAAAACTATAGTTTCTAATCATACAGACAAAAAACTCCATAGTTTTGTTTCCTAAAAAAACTCGTACTGGATTACTTGGTTTCTCTATATGTCAAACCATGACAGATTTCAGTTCCCGTGTAACTATACCCTAACAGCTGATGTCATAATAACCCTCAGGTTGGAACCCGTCATCATCGAGCTAGAACGCCAGCGTGCACCAGTGGTTGTCATATCTCACCAGGTAAATTGTTATATTTGATGGAATATTGGAAAGTTGGAGTGCGGATGGCAGAAATACTGAGTTTTGAACTATTTGTCCCATTGTTAGGCTGTACTGCGAGCACTGTATGCATATTTCGCGGACAGGCCTTTGAGAGAAGTTCCAGAGATAGAGGTGATACATTTGACTTTCCTCTTCTTGATCAATGTTATATTGTAACAGATGTACTAGAAACACAATGTGTCTGAACTAATGGCAATTGTTCTTATGTAGATGCCACTACACACCATAATCGAGATACAAATGGGCGTTCTCGGCGTTGAAGAGAAGAGGTACAAACTCATGGACTGAACACATAAAGGCAGCAGGTTGGCTGTTTCGTATAGTCATACAGCAAGTACAGATAACACAGAAGCTTCTTTTTCTTATCTCTATCCACACGGTGTGAAACCTACTTCAGTGTTTTTTTTTTCTCTGAAAAAAAAACATATTGATCATTGTAAAGAAAAAACATATACTACTAATAAGGAACTGTAAAAATGGCATGCTTACTGCAACGAATAAGGAATACAGACTGTGGCTCAAATTAACAATTCCACGGCTTATTCAAAAATATATTCCGTCAAATTGGTTGATCCTGTTCCTGTGGCTGATGGGACCAATGAACCGTAGTTGTTTTGCCTTGGTTGTACTAGTAGACTTGTACACGACCTACCAAACTATGAACTGTCATGTCCTCCTGTAGACTGTAGTCCTGTGCCCATGTGAGGACACAAGGCAGGCCGTTTTCGTGCTCCAGAAACTCTGCTGAAATGTTGGCATGGCCCTCGACAGGGTGCCAAACTTCCCTCGATTCCATGCGGCATCCATGAACGCCCTCACGTCGTCCCTGTCTGCCTGCAAATATATAGCTCACTCGCCGCTTGGTCTTTTCGATCACCGGACCGGCGTCATGTGTGCGTGATTGAGGGAAGACTGCACCGTGCGCCGTCTGCACCGGCCATGTCGCTGGCTCGTTACGACGCCAACGTGCTGCTGGCCGCGGTGACCGCGCTCTCGGCGGCGGTCGCCTTCGTCGCGGCGCTCCACCTCTACGCGCGGTGCCTCCTGCAGCGGCGCGTCGCCCTCGCGGAAGGGGAAGGCAGCCCCCGCGTGGTCGTGCTGCAGCGGCAGCGCCCGCCGGACGGCTACGTGGTGGAGGTCGTCGGCGCCGGTGCGTGCGGCCAGCAGGCCGCCGGGCTGGACGCCAAGGCGCTGCGCGCGCTGCCGGTGTTCACGTGGGAGTCGTCCGAGCAGGGGAAGGGGAAGGAGGAAGGCGGCGTCGCCGCCGAGCTGCACGGGCAGCAGTGCGCGGTGTGCCTCGGGGAGATAGAGGACGGCGAACTGGGCAGGCTGCTCCCGGCGTGCCGCCACGTGTTCCACGTGGAGTGCATCGACACGTGGCTCGGGGTGAGCTCGACCTGCCCGGTGTGCCGGACGGCTGCGGCTGCCGGCGGAGCGGCAGCCGACGTGGACCACGGCGGTGAGGTAGAGCCGTAGAGCCCATAGCTGTGGAGTGCTGGTGTAGTGTATATAAAAGGAGGTTAAATCATAAATAAATTATCGATCGAGCACACGGATTATATTGCAGAACCAACGGCAGATTAGTAAACACTAAACAGCAAGTCTCATGTCGATCGCCATTCCGTTCAAAAAATGCATATTTCTATACATATTGTATATATACAGCAAATGCTGGGCTTACTTAACTCTAAACGCTCTAACTTCACCATTTTCTGGAAGCATCAAGTCCTATATAGCTAGTTCATTTTGGCGGAACATGTAAATATATGTGCTCTACGAATCTTCTCTCTCTCTCTCTCTCTCTATTTTCGATCTCCACCTTATGAATTTTTTTAGGACTAGAAAACCTAGAGTAAGCATTCCCAACAAGCACTACATACGTTTGGTGATAATCCCTCTGTTACAAAAGTTTGCTTCTGAAATCAATGTGTTTTAGTTTTGTCCAAAATCGATTCTCTCAATTTTTTTTATCAAAGTTTATAAAAAATATATTAACACCTAATAAACAAATAAAATACTCTGCTATGACATTTCATAATGGCTTTACTAATATTGATTCGATGTTAACCCTCAAAAGAAATATTGATTCGATGTTATAGAGGTTGGTGTATTTTTTAAGTACATTGGGCAGAATTGTATTGCTCAAGAAATACGTATGTGAACAAGCCAAATGACCAATGAATCAAATATGAAAAATACCAAGGTGTTATAAATTATATAACCTAGCCTTCAACGGAAACTTCACAGCACGAAATTCATCGTCACAAATCAAGGCCGAATCGCGTCGGCATTCGCCGCGCCGCGTCGCCAGCCTTCCGCCGGCCGCCATTGGACATTGGAGCCTTGACGCAGTGACTATTGGGCCGTACCTGGATCGAAGAAGGAATGGGCGTGGGCCGTTCGGCTACTACTCCTCCTCCTAGCCCACTACACTGTCTTCCAGGTTCCACCGTTTCCACCATGGGAATATGGGATGATGGAAAGCAAAGCATCGTGCCGGCTCTCGTCTGATTTGAGAGCTGGTTTCTCCTTTTTCGGGTTTTCCCCGCACTCAGCTTGGGTGCCCCTTTTCGTTTTGAATTGAATCGAAGCTTATATTAATCGTCACCTGCATTGCATTCTAGGTGTACAAATTTTACTCTCCTGAATGAATTTTTGTTCCACTTGAAATGCATGAATATTTGAAGTGCATAAATATTTCTGTTGTGCATATATATAAAGCTTTCTGTTCCACACTCCCATTTAAAAATTGCATGGTTTCTTCGAGATGTACACATTTTTGTTTCCCTTTCTAGAATTTTGTTCCACATGGACAACATTTGTTTTAGCCAAACAATTTGTTCCCGATGTACAAATTACTTGTTTTCCTTGTCTAAAATGTCGTTCCACCTGAACAACATTCAGAAGAGCTTGCATTTCGGTAGATCAAACACCGCTTGTGATCCAGCGAGTGAAAGACAAAATCTTTTTGGTGTCATAAATGCTTATAACCTTTTCTATAAAAATAGGACAAAAACGAAATGTCACTCCTTACTGGACAGACTAGTGAAAGGAATGAGAAATACTCGATCCATTCTAAATTATAAGGCTATGTTCGTTTCGCTAAAATTTGGTTTATGCTGATTTATTATGATAGAAAAACAATGTTCGTTCGCTGAAAAATACTACTAAAGTAGTTCAATTTGACCTTTTTTTACTAAAATAGATGTATCGAAAAAAGTTAAAACGGCTTATAATTTGGATCGAGGGAATAAATAGTATAACAGTATGCAAGGACAACAAATTAGGCGGCGAGACAACGCAACCTTCCCAGGAGAGAAACGTGAAAGAGTACCAAGAGCACAAGGAACATGCCGCCATGGTCTTCCTTCCCCTTCCGTGCACAGAGACCGCCGCCGAGGCCACGTTGGCCGTGTCCGGTGCGGCACCGTTCCATTCCACTGGTAGCCAGGTCGCGGCCCCACCGTGCCATTCTGACGTGGGACCCTGAGAGCCGACCTAAAAGACGCATCGCTTGCCGCCTTTTGAAAATCTCATCTCATCAAAAGAGCACCGAAAATGCACCCACGTCCCACCGACCGATGGGCCTGCCGTCCGTCCTCGGCCCACAGCCCCCAATCCCGCACCTCCAGCTCCGCCTTATAAATAAGGCCCCCAGGAAGAAGCCTCACCAACAGGAACAATTCCTCCGCTCTCTCGAGGGCGGTTGCGTGCTCGCGCGAAGAAGGCCGGAGCACGGAGCCCTCCCGCTCCGACCGGTGGGGGAGCGCCGATTCGAGCCGCCGATCGGCCGTCCGCGAAGGTATACCCCTCCGATTCGGCCCCCCAGCCCCCGCTTAATCCGCGTGGTACTCGTATGCATTCGACGGTAGCGGCACTGTGTGGTTTGATCGGCCTTTGTTTTTGGGGTACAACCCGCCCTGTGTGCGGGTGAGGTAGTGGGTGGGTGGGTGCTCGTGGATTTTAGGGGGAGTTATAGGATCGGTGCGCTAGGTTGGGGTTCGCCCTGCTGGGTCGCGGTCAAAGTAATGAGGGGATTTGGGGTCGCTGTTCGCTCGTCGCCGTCTTAATTACCCGGATTAGTGCGATTTGAGCGGCACGGTGCATCGATTCTGGCGTGGCGGTTGCTGTGACATGAAGTGCTCCCGAATCTCCTAATCCGTGGTGGTCCCTTCACTTCAGCTCATATTGTCTGATTTGTATTCTAGTTGTTTGCTTCATCTCTATCACCAAACCCCTGTTCTCTCCGTAAAAGGAATATAACCCTCACATTTCAGCCTCTTATGTATTTTCAGTGAATTGATTGTTACCCAAATCCATCACTAAACTCCACTTCTACAGACAGGTCTGGGCTCTTGAGTTATGTCATTTAGGCTGGGAAACACAGCCTCTGTAGATGGGGAATTTTCCTGATCATTGTGAATGGCAGTACCGAAACTTGTTTTGTGTTATGGTCATGGTTGGGTGTGTCAAACAATCCCTACTACCAGGTGATCAACATACATCAACATGTCTTGGCTATCTCCTTGTTATCATCTGTTTTGATCATTGCCTCTTTTTATTTTTTTTTTTCTCGAACACGCAAGAGAGCTGCGTATCATGAAGAGTAAAGGAGTGGGTATAGAAACCCCATACAGCCACGCACATAAACACATCCTTTTACATCAAATGGTGTATCTCTCCTCACTTGTCAAACATGACCCAAGACCACTAGAGAGGAACTCATGCATTGGCTGGCTCTAGAGCAAGGAGATTGGAAATTCCCCAAGCTCTGGCCAAACTCCACAGGAGAAACTCATCTTTTACCGAAACCAGAACCCTATTTAGGCTCGGTTGACTCCCATCTGTGGTGATTCCAAATGGACCAAGCTCCCAGAATGATGATGGAGTTGAGACCTTTTTTTAGTCTGGTCATCAACACCAGAATTTGTGCTTGCCCACCATGCATCAAAGGAGTTGTTGTCAGGCTGGGGGGAGAGGTCCTGCAGGCCGATCTTATGTAGAATGTTGTACCACACTTGCTGAGAGAAGACACATGAGATCATTAGATGGTCAATCGTTTCCTCAGCTTGATCACAAAGCGGGCAGCGTTCAGGGTGAGGCAGAGCTCTTTTAGCATGACATTCGGCAGTCCAGCACTATTGTGCCTCTTTTATGTCCCTTCTGTGAATTGACCATTCTCCAATTGCAAAATTATGTTACTATGGTTCAGCTTATATCTATATCCTTCTTCAATTGAAGCTCTCTGATGGTATGGATGACTAATTGGTGTCTAGCAGTGTGAGGAATCATATTTACTGTCCCAATTTACTTACTCTGTAGCTTAGGAACTCCAATCCACCTTGGAGCGCATTCATGACTGATGCTTTTGACCTTTGAAGCTTATGAGTGGGTAATTCTTTTCTGTATCCCCCTTATTGTTTATTAGCTGGTAGCAGAAGCCGACAAATATGTATCCATACTACAGATCTGAATCTCGTTTATCTCCACTTGTCAATCTTTGATGCCAGGATTTATCATTTTGTTTAACACACTTTCTCATAATTTAAAAGCAATGCACTAGAATTTCAGGTTATGCAATCTCTTAATATGTTTGTTCACAAGAAAAAAAATATCATATGCATGACTTGTGCTATATCTCAGACTTCAAATGTACCTTCTCCCTGTGACACTCCTACAGCCATTAAATTATTGAAGGTGCCCTTTGATGCTTCAACCCGTATTGGAAATATCTAAATTCCATCGGACATAGAACATATAAGTTCTACACTCAGTTTTTCTTTAGAAGAAGAAGCATTGAATCTGTTAAAGGTACAACACTGTTGTCCTTTGCTTTGATGGTAATGCATGAAATTTGAACACCGACGTGTCTTCTGCGTCTTCAGGTATCTTTATTGGTATTTAAAGACTATATTATACAGTATTCTATTTTATCAGAAATGGCACAAAAAAAACGTTATTTCTTATGGGAATGCAGGTTTAGTGAGATCTGGCCTTCGCAATAGTCACCTTCTTGAAAGCAGATGTATAAGGCTTATTAGAGTTGGAGTTCAATCTTTGGGGACATGAATTGATTCTGTTATTTGTTTGACTCCGATTTGGGGCAATCACGGGCTTTAGGTTGGGTGAGGAATTGTCGTTTCAACGAATTCAGGTACTCAGGTTAGTGATAGTTTCAGAATATTGTAGTTACATGTTTGTGGCGGTGAGTAAGCTATGAAGTCATGATGAGAACCTTAATTCATTGGGTACCACATTCAGTCCTTTTTTTTGGGAAAAATATACATTCACCCCCAGCTTGATATGAGCATTTCCTTCTCTCTAGCTTTTCCATGGTCCAACTAAACCTTGGGAGTTCTTCTGGAGAATTATCTAGCTCTCAGTCTTTTCAGATATTTGCATTTATTACTTCGATCATTTGAATTGTTCGACTAATGACATTGCAGGTACTATTTGAACACTGCACTAAAAAATGGAGTTTCTTTTCTTGTTTGACATCTTGATGTGCCAAAATCAAGCTCTCATTAAAGGTCAAACAAATGGGCAAAATTTGGGCTCCTTGATTAGTTTTTTCAGTGTTAAGCGATGAATCTGCTTTGGTAAATGGGAGAGCTGATCCAGTTTGTCCATATGCCTTGTGAGGACTATTTGTCCTCAGTAAGAGCATATGTTCAACATCACTGTTGGACTTCTGTTGCCCTTAGTTTGAGATGGTGGCTTCTCTTACAAGATTGTAACAGCCTTTTAACAGCCCAAGAGACAAGAGAGGCCCTCCAGTTGTGAGTTTTTGGAAGAGCCAATTGCTGCTAACTTCATATCATTCTGAGGACTGGAAAAGGTGGACCAGTGCCACTCTTAGCATCTACCACCTAGAACTTTTAGCCCATTGGTGGTTGTATGGTGAAGTTCATCAAGTATAAAGGCGAGAAGGGTAGTTTCATGGCCCACTGTTAACTTATAGGGAGAGAAATATTGAGGTTTGTGGAAATACTGGCTGGAGCAGTATGATCACCCACTAGTCCTGATTTTGGATGGTAGATTTAGGTTGGCGTAAATGTGGGAGAAGGAACTTAAACAGTTGTTTCACATCAAATTAGTTGATCTGAAGATCCTTTCCAAGTAAAAAATCAGCTTACCATGTAGAATTGGCTACGGCGAGGGTAGCTTGGCCCATGAAGTAACAATTCTTTTGATCACACTGAGAGGATGCCATTTGCAGATAGCTATTCAATGTTGTTGGAAGGAGAAAGATGCTAGTTGAAAATAGGTGAATTGATGATGTTGGAAACAAGATGCATTTATTCATAAGACGAACAAAAGGACAACAATTTCGAGGAGGAACCTTTAGCAATCTTGTGTGTGCATCTGTTATTCATACATGGGCATGTGTGTACCTGAAATGCTAGTTTTATATCTACCTGCCTTCATATTTCCTGGGGCTTCTGGAGCTGATAGCTAGTGCCATACTTTCTGCCTTATATGTCCATTTCCTTTCTGTTTAACAGAATTATGTACAATTTATTATTAGGTTCTCTTCCCATGACTAAGCTCGTTTGACGGGCTTTTCATTCCATGTAAAGAATTAGAAGATTCTGGCCAATCTTCTTATGTTCAATAGAATGTAATACGAACTGTACTGTTTGATAAGTGCTGCCATATAATTTAGTTGCACACTGTTTCAACTTCTTTGGCTATTACTGTATTCCTGTTGTTACAGATGCTGTCAATAGGTTCTTTGCCTTTTAAAATTGGTCCTTTCACCTGGTGTTGTACAGAGTCCTGGTGTATACTGCTTTACTGAATTAATGTTGTAAGGCTAGTGTCTTTGTAGGTTAGGTATTAGGATTTTATACTTGACACTGAACTATTAAAATATCATCTGTAATTTGATCCTAATATCAATGGATTGTATAGCTGCTTATCAAGTACTCAATCCATCTCAAATTGTAAGACGTTTGACTTTTTTGACACCAAGTTTGACCACTCGTCTTATTCAAAAATTTGTGTAAAATATCACTTCTTTCGTCGTGGTTTGGTTTATTAATAAAAATTCTTCAAGAATGACTTAAATTTGACTATATTTGCACAAATTTTTTGAATAAGACGAGTGGTCAAACTTGGGACAAAAAAAGTCAAACGTCTTACAATTTGGGATGGAGGGAGTATTTTCTATTACTTGGAGAGAAGACAATGCAGCCTTGATATGCTGCTTGTAATTATCTTGTATAAAGCCTGTTAAATGTAATCATTTTTAATGGTGCAGTATCAAACAATCGATTTATATATCTACTAGCCTCTTTGTTATCTTCAAACAAACATCCTCTTTTTATACTGTTTATGAACAACAATACAGCAATAAATATTCTCCAATCCTTTAATTGACCGTGCTGCATTTCTGATTTTTTTTTGTTTCTTTCATCTTCCATTATTTGAGTGCAAATAAACCTTTACGGAAGGTAAAATTTGTGAGTGCCAGGCACCATAATGACATGATGTATACATAAAGGTTCTCTTCAACTTGCATGTACATTATTGGCATAACATAGGTATCCTCTAGCTGCTTGGTGACCAAACATTAGAGAGTAGTATTTTGTTGTTTTCAAAAGGTTAGAATTTTGAACTATTCATCATATGGGAAAATCCTATGCTCTATCATTACTTACCAGGCCCAGTTACTGCCATCACCAAAGCTATAAAAGTTTCTGATTCTTGTATTGAGGTCTAAAAGTCAGGTTTCCACCCTATATATTTTATTTTGTAGTAGACTATTATGCAAGTACGATGATGATGCCTTCTCTAGTTTAATTTTGTAAACTAAATACTGTGGTCAAAACGTTTTATGTTTACTTAGTTAATTATGTTGGCATGGTTTCTAGTCTTCTTGGATATGACGAGGATTTCATTTGTGTTGTGAGTGTTGTACCAAAGTTAAATAAGACACTGGATATGATGAAATCTTTGGGGTTTTGGCACTGGCAGCTCTAGCCTGTGTGATTGTAATCTCACATCTTGCGGTTCTAAGGTTTGAATGATCCTTTTTAATTTGTTCTGGAAGTCTTAAGTATTTGTGATTCTCTCTATATTACATTTTCTTTTCTAAATCTACATGTATATTTGCATCTGCAATTTGTTTTTCTAGAATACTAATGCCGAGCCTATAATTTTCCAGGTTAAGCAAAATCAAATCCCTCTGTTCATGTGTTATGGCGGGACATCATCATAATAACACACATGCCTCCAGGATGGATCATGTGAACAGGTTCCAGAGTGAACCACAGCCTTTTGGTATATGGACTTCCACAAACATACTAACTTATTGCTTATTGTACATTTCAATTATTGTGAACTCATCCAATTGCACCCCTGTTATGCCAGGTCCAAAGTTATTTATGCATTCTAGAACTGATGCAGCGAATGGAGCTCTATCATCAGGTTATGGGGGCGCACCAATAAGACCAAATGACATTCCATCCTCAAGTCACACTGGGCAATCTCATATTCAGCACAGTGATGCTCCTGGAACCATGCTTGCACCCTATTCTGGCTATCCTCATGCTGGAAGCTCCAGTAGCATCTATGCACCACATAATACTCATCATCCGCCTTCTTTGAGTTATCCAAATAGGTCTGAGGATAACTTCATTCCGAGTTCCCATATGGATGACAGAAGGGTTGCACTGAAGCGGAGAAATCCAATTATTCATCCAGTGGATGGAGTCAATATCGGGAGCTGTTATGCTGGCAGTTCATCTAATCCTCAGTTCCCTCGCTACATTCCTGCTCCTGAACCCTGCCCTCCTCGAGTAACATCAAATATGGGTTCAAGCTACTGGAGTGATCATCCCTTTGATAGCCATGGAGGATCTCAGAGGAATGTGAGAGGACGCCATGATCACAATCCGATCCATTTGGGACACAATCCAGGTGTACCTTGCGCATCAAGCAGCACTCATGGGTCACAAAACCATACTCCTGTAATTGGTCCTCCTCGAAGTACAGCAGTGCCACAAGATAGAGCGCATTTCTCTATACCTCCAAGAGTGACTGCCCCAGGTTAATTTTGATGCCTGTTCTTCTAGTAAATTTCATGATTGAGGCCCAAGTGTTTTGTTGCTATAAACTGTATGCTACCTCCGTCCCAAAATATAGCTACTTCTAGGTATGTCTTTAAGTCAAACTATTTAAACTTTGACCAAGTTTCTAGGGAAAATAATTAACATCTATGATATCACATAAGGACATTCTGAAAAATTATTTGATAGTTGATCTAATAACACTAGTTTAGTATCCTAGATGTTGATATTTTCTACGATAAATTTTGTCAAACTTATCACATAGTTTTGACTCAAAACAAACCTAGAAGTGGCTATATTTTGGGGACTGAGGGAGTAACTGTTTTATAGTTCTATTATAGTACCATCAGTTGCAGCATAGCAATTTTCAATTGCTTTTTAGTGCTGTTCAAAATGAAATGATAGATTGCCAAGCACCCCATTTTTTTCAAATTTTGTTGTTATTCAAGAAGTTAAAGCTTTCTGTTCTGCAGGGACCGATGGAAACTCTAGCATGGCCTTCAGGGAGAGGCCATACTATTCTGCTCCACAGAGGACCAACATAAATGCCCCCCCTATCCCAACACCTCCTGGTTCTTCTGATAGTCCACATTTTGTGCATGGTGGGTATGCCCCCAGAGCAGTCCCTCCTAACAGCATCAGCACATATCCTGCCCCAGCTTTTGCGACTTCTAACAACTCGGTGACAGTCACCCATGAGCCTGATATCCCTAGCTATCGGCCTGCTATCCTTGGCTACCAGCCTGCTGTCCCTAGCTACCCGCCTGCTACCTCAGCAGCAGCATCAAGTGTTCATGCTGAAGCTACTGCATCTTCAAGACATCTGGGGCATGTGGCTCTTGGTTCCAGTGGTAGTGCAAGGAGTAGAAGGCTGAGGGATTCGCACCATGCTTTCCGTCCACTGATTATTGAAGAAAATAACTTGAGAGGACCAGCAGCTGAGGTAGATGGTGTTGATTATTTTCTCATAATTACACTAACATGAATTCTTGCCCTGTAACTAATACAATTGCATTGTGTGCAGCGGTTTATGATGCTGGATCAGTTAGTTATCCATGAGTCAAGAGAAGATTCTGATCCTCACTGGGACATGAGGCTGGACATTGATGATATGAGTTATGAGGTAGTAAGAAAGAACCTACAGTAGATAATTATTATCACAAATCAGCACAGAATGTGTTCTGTAACTAATGTAACTTTCTATGCTGTTATCTGCAGGAGCTGCTGGCTTTGGGAGAACGAATAGGCAATGTCAACACTGGCCTAGCTGATGAAAAACTTTCAAGCTGTGTGATGGAGATAACTTGCTGCAGCTCTGCCCGTACCCATGGTGACACTGAGAGCGCAAGATGTGTAATTTGCCTGGTAAGATTACACCCTTGCACAACATCCGGTTTAATGTTACACTTGCAATTCCTGTTATCTATTATCTCAAGCTGTTATCTACTATTTCAAGTCAATGCTTATCAAACACCGGTTGCTGGCTGCAGGAGGATTACAAATTCAAGGACTCTATCGGAAAGCTGAAATGCGGTCACGACTACCATGCAGATTGCATCAAGAAGTGGCTGCAGGTGAAGAACGCTTGCCCAGTCTGCAAAGCTTCTGCGGCAGACGACAGCGGAGGCACCGAATGAAGCGCCCTCCCTCCCCATTCACCTTATCTCAGGCGAAACCGTATCTATTGGCTGATCTGGTTCTGCTGTGTAAATAATGGTCCTGAAACGGATTATTTGTGGGCTGAATTTGAACTCCGACATCTAAATCTAATCCTCAAGCTAGTTGCTAATCGATGGCAGCGTGTTCATTGTTCATTGATTCACATACCGGTTTGATTCCGCCGTTAAGGGGTGCTTCTCTAGCCAGCTTCGCCTCTGCTCCATGGATGGTTCGGTGTTCATGTCAGTGATAATACGTGCGATCTCGTAAGTTGCTTGCCTCCGATCCAAAATCGTCCCGTGGTGTATGCACAGTTTTGTTTGCTGCCGATGGATGCACCACCCTACTGATCCAGATGGTTGGATGCAATGTTGGCATCTGCATGTTGCTGGATCGTGACTAGCAGCTGTATGCATGCTAATCGCAGAACGCTATCTTTGTAACCACTCTTTAAAATATAAATATAGATAGATGATGGAAGTTATATATATATATATATAACAATAGTAAAACACGTTTTGTTTGACCCATTTGGATGTAAGACAGGATGTCAGGATTGGATGAAGAACTGCATTTAAGATGACCTCGAAGATTCTTTTGGAACAACTGTATATAATAGTTTATTGGATTAGCCCCAAACTTTATATCTTACTATTGATTTGAGAAATTGTTCATTCTCTTCCCATATACGTATACTCCTTCTGGGATTCGGTCTGAGGTCGTGCTCGAGAATTGTCCCATCGATCTGACGCCCATGAGGAGCTAGCATCACCACGTACGTGCGGCACCATACACACAGTGACAGAGAATCTTCCTTCGCAGTAGCAGTAGGCTCCATTCCGTTGCTCCACCTTACACGCATTTTCCCTCTGGATCCAGCAAGCAAAGCAAAGCATGCAGGCAGCATCTCTCTCGATTCCATTCATCTTCACCATGCATGTACAGCTCGGATCGAAAGCTCCACCGATGCAGGTTGTTAAATGTTAGCAACTCTTTACCCGATCACTGTCCCAATTTTTTTCGATTTAGTTAAGCCGTCTTTACGACGTCCATCGCCACCTAATTAAATTACAAAAAATTCTCTAGTTCTCACTCGCAGGCGGAATCCGATGGAGAGATCCGATCGATCCCAGTGCGTCCAGCCCTCAGCAGAAACCCCACCCCACAATGCCAGTGGAGTTGCTGCTCCGTGAAGCAAACTACGCCACCTGCTAATCAACGTGCCATCTTCCAGCTCGACGTCGCCCCCTCCATGGCAGCATGGCGTCCCACCATTTCTCTCTTCATCCCCTCGCTCGCTCTCATTCCTCGATCGGCAACCTCCTTATATATATAACCCACTCGCCTCCATTGCAATATGCACATCAAGAACAGGAATCCAACAACGCTACACACGAGCTAGTAGCTAGCCAGCTAGCTAGGCAGCGAAGATACATATATAAAACTAACTAACCAACCCATCATGGCGTTGCCACGCCTCGCCGCCGCCCATCTCCTCGCCGTCGCCATCGTCCTGTCGTCCGCGGCGCCGCTAGCGCACGGCCAGGCAGCATCAGCGCCGTCCCCGTCCCTAGCCCCCGCGGCGCCCAAGACGATCACGGCAATCCTGAGCAAAGCCGGGCAGTTCACCAAGTTCATCCAGCTGCTCCAATCCACACGGGAGGCGGAGCAGATCACGAACCAGCTGAAGGGCAAGTCCTCAAACGGCGGTCTCACAGTCTTCGCGCCGCCCGACAGCGCGTTCTCGGCGCTCCCCAAGGGCACGCTCAACTCCCTGTCCGACCAGCAGAAGACGTCGCTGGTGCAGTTCCACGTGGTCTCGGCGGTGCTCGCCGCCGCGCAGCTGGAGACCGTCAGCAACCCGCTGCGGACGCAGGCGGGGGACACGGGGAGGGGCAAGTACCCGCTCAACCTCACCGCCGACGGGACGAACGTCAACGTCTCCACGGGCGTGGTCAACGCCACGCTCGACGGCACGCCGCTCTACGCCGGGGACAGGCTCGTCGTGTACCAGGTCAGCAAGGTGCTCCTGCCCTGGGCGCTCTATGGACCGCCCGTCCCCGCGCCGGCGCCCGCGCCCGCGGAGAGCAAGAAGAAGAAGAAGGCCGCGCCGGATGCCGTGGCGGACGCGCCCGCGGCTGAGACCGCGGCGGGGACGACTACGGCGTCGGCGGCCACGGGGGTCCCAGCTGGCGTCGGAGCTGCTGCTGCTTCGTCCTGCGTGGCTGTTGTCGCCGTGGCTGCTTTATGGTGGGCCATCTGACCTCCACGTACAGTACAGTAAGGATCCATGCCGTGCGTGTCTTGTCGTCGTGGATATTCTTTTAAAATTTCGAGAGATGTTTCTAATTCATCATCAATCAGTTGTTTCTTCTTTTATTCTTTTTTCATAAAAAAATGTATTGTGGATGTTATTTGGTGTCGTTTTGTAATGTTTGTGTTGTATACTTTGAACTGTACATGATATTGAGTGGACGTATATTGTTATCCAAATGTTTCAATGAACCAACCCAACACTAGATCCAAGAATATTACAATCTCATAGAACGAATTTCCTCTCATACTGTGCTAGGTGACAAAAAAAAAGTTTGCTACATAGAAAATCAGTTGTCCATAGGGGAAAAAAAGGTTTTATGTAGAGCCAATGTTAAACTAAACTTCACATTTATGCCCCATTCGCTTGGAGGAATCTGGAGGAATCTAGAGGAATTTAGATGAATCTGGAGGAATCTGTGAGAGAAAAATACTGTTCCGGTTGAAAAAAGAAACGGATCAAGCCGGGTTTAAGGACACGCAAACGGAGCCTTACCGTTCTCATATCTAGTACTCTTTGTGGAAAAAGAATCAGACACGAAGACATATTAGCCCGTTCGAATCTAAGACTTTGAGATGTCTCACAAATTTGGAGTATGTTTGGATCCATGAGCTGCTAATAGTTAGCTAAATAATAGGCCACAACTAATATTAGCTATTATTAGTTAATTTAGTCCAATTAGTGAAATGTAGCTATTAGTTGAGTATTCAGCTAACACTTAACTAAAGTATTAGCGAGATGTTTGCATCCAAAGAGCTACTATTTGCAGTTGACCATTATATCCTTGACTCCAAACAAGGCCTTGATTTCGTGTGTTTTGAGGCCATAGTTGTCAATTGTCATCTTGCCGTATGACTTTACGGCTTTTATGATATGGAGGATTAAGGAGCCTAATTTTACTATTCCGGTCACAATACAGTTTGTACCTTTGAGGCTTTTATGCTTAAGATCCTAATATGATTGTGATCCCACCAAAAATTCTCCGACTTAATTTAGAGCCCGTGATTTTGAAAAAAAAAATCTTGTCCAAGCCCTCGTAGACTTTAAATAGATGAGGTTTGCTTCCATCATAGGACAAAATAAATCTTGACATCCGCAGGGGCCCACACGAAAAAAAGAACCCCGCAAGATCTTGCACATCTTTCCCTTTTACCCGGCAGGCAGCACTCGTCCTGGTCGACCCGACCGCATCGCGATCAGTCATCTCCTCCCTTCCCTCCTGCGGTCTCGCTCTCGCCGGAGAGAGATCAGACGCACACGCGCCGCCGCCGGGCGATGGACGCCTCCTACCGCCGCGCCGCCGCCGGGAGTGGCTCCGCTCCCCGCTCCGTCGACGACATCTACAAGGACTACCGCGCCCGCCGCTCCGCCATCCTCCGCGCCCTCACCCACGGTACGCGCCCCCGCGGCTCCTGCTTCCAGCCACGCTTGTGAAGGTTCCAGCTCTAACTCTAGCCCTCGTCTCGCTTCGCAGACGTCGAGGAGTTCTACGCGCTGTGCGATCCAGGTGAGTCTCCTTCCCCTCGCGATCTCACCGCGCCGTGGTCTTCGATTCGATTTGGGTCCGAGCTGCTGATGCGGTCTGTGGTTGGGGTTGGGTGTCGGTGTAGAGAAGGAGAACCTGTGCCTGTACGGGTACGCGAACGAAGCGTGGGAGGTGGCGCTGCCGGCGGAGGAGGTGCCCACGGAGCTGCCGGAGCCGGCGCTCGGGATCAACTTCGCGCGCGACGGGATGAACCGCCGCGACTGGCTCGCGCTCGTCGCCGTCCACTCAGACTCGTGGCTCATCTCCGTCGCATTCTACTACGCCGCGCGGCTCAACCGCAACGATCGGTACGACACCATCCCCCCAATTTCGCCTCTGTTTCTCAAGGTCCGATGCATGCCTTGTTGCCGTCACTTGTTGCTTGTTCCTTGTTGTTGTGCTGTCTGTGCTCATTGACACATATGACATGCATACATGTGCTGGGGCTTTCTCGGGAGTATTCTCTGTGAGTTGAAGTGGATTTCAGGGTCTGCATGGTCTGCTGTGCCCTCTGTATGCATTTTTTTTTTGAAGTAAACCTCTGTATGCATGTCATTGTGCCGACGTGTTTGGATCCAACATTTGTTTTGACAAGTAACTGTTCAGATTTGGGCCTTCTGATTTCGTGGAATATAAGTAATTTGCCAATTTTCGATTTACAAAGCAAATGAGTTTGTTCCCATGTAGCAATTTAAGGAGCTGTGCTGTTCAATTGCTTACTACTGTCATGCGAATTACTAAGTTATACTAGCTTATAAACCGACATTTTGCTGAAGCTGGGGAGGATATCTGTTTATCTGTGCTGTAGTTAGCATTATGTAAACTTCTGAGCATGTCTGTATGTGTGTACTGAAGTTTTATTCTTCCCTAAGATGTTAATACTGTCCTAATGAAAAGTAGTGTTGTTTATTCATGTGGAAAGCTTAGTGTAGAGTGTAGACCCTTCATTGTCATTAGAATGTTCATATGTTGCTGAACGAAATGTGCCTCAGAAATATTCGGATGCTTAAAGCCTGCTCTGTCATTTTAAGCTGATTCCATTTTTGGGAATGAATTTGTTCCATCACATATATAAGTTATTGCAGCATAAAAATATGTAGGCACCTCCAAGTGAGAAATTTCCAGTTTGTTATTCATGAAAGACTTCTTGCTCTGATTTAAGGCATTGAAACTTCTTCTGTGATGGTTATACTTCGTTACTTACAAACTTTTTATTTAGAAAGCATGCAAGTGTGAATTGATGATTATGATCTCTTCCGACTTTCACTTCTTGTTACTCACTAAGATTGTGGCTACGTTTGGATTTAGTGGATGGTTCTGATTATGTGTTTTGCTTAAGTACTCTACTTCAAGCTTTTACTAATATTTCTGTAGAAGTAGCTAACTGTTCCCAAATCTGTAGTACAGCCTTTTAGTCCCGAGCAAGCTTGACCAGGCTAGAGATGAAATGCAGCAAGAGCCATAGGAAAGAGCAAAAAAAAGAGGGATTAATAAGAGCCACAGGCCAAATCTGTACTAACCACTAACTAGAATGATTTAACAAGATTATCCTGTGGTTTGAAACTGTGCAGCACTGCAGTATCTCCCATGCAAGACTGAGTTAATTTCTGACTGTTAAGATCATTTGTTAGTCTCCAACAGCAACCAAAAAATAAAAAATGATGAGTATATGGAGAGGTGTATTTTTTTGGGTACAATTGTATGAAATCTAACTTATAGTATATGTATTTTTCCCATAGTCAGTAACCACTTTAAGATTAGTAAATAAATGTATCTCATAGAATAAAACTATAGCAAGCCCTCCTGATTATTCATTGCTATGATACATAATGTCTACCAATTACTAAACAAGAGTCGCAACTATTTGGTACCTGACTACATATTGTATTGCTTCTTGCATTGAAATCATTGCACATGTAACCACCACCTTTCTATACAACCTGGATGCGTACTCCATTTTGTGTAAAGGACATGAATACTGAATAAAAATTGTTTGGACTTGATGTTGGATAATACATCCTCACGTAGGTTGTTCCTGATAAGTTCCATTTTATGTATCTCCAAATTTATTGGCCTATGAATTAGCTGATTTCTGATTAAAATCTGAAACGGTGGTGGTATCTAAGGGTTGGTAACTGTATGAGTTTATTTGGACCAAGCAGCGCATCCTTAAAGTTCTTTGCTTACCAGTTCCATTTCTACACTTGTTATTTTTACTTTGAACTCGAAATACATTCACATTATTTAACTTTTGGACTTGTTGTCAAACTGCTAATATTTCATAGATTTATTTGAAGCAACATTTTCCCCGAGTATTTAACGAGCTAAGTGTTTTCATCTTACTGTTTTATATCTTTTGAGGACTTTGGGACAATGCTGTGCACTCCAATACTTTCATAAATAGTATGTAGCTCCAACTGCTCAACTCCTGTGCAATGTTGCCAAATTTAATTTATGTTTAGCTAAACCTTGAGATTTTAGAAGGGCGGGCCTGGTGCAAGCGGTAGAGTCTTACCGCCTGTCACCGGAAGGTCCCGGGTTCGAGTTGCGGTCTCCTCGCATTGCACAGGCGAGGGTAAGGCTTACCACTGACACCCTTCCCCAGACCCCGCACAGAGCGGGAGCTCTCTGCACTGGGTACGCCCTTGTAAACCTTGAGATTTTAAAAATATGTAGAGTAGCTTTTGTATATTTCACTTCGTTTGTTCTTTACAAATGATACATGCTTCATTTGAATAAACTTTGTTGTTGACCAAGGGTTTTTGAGAGCAGTAAGTGATGAGTACAAGTGAATTTATGATTGAATTCATATTTTATACCATGATGGGTATTGGGATCTTAGTCACCAAGTAAATTCGCTTGTAGTTGTAGGCAGTAAGGCAATAAAAACAACATTAATGTTGGCCAGTTGAAACTTTGCAACTTACAAGTTTGACTTTGTTTTCTTCATAAAATGTTCTTACAGTTTACCTTTCGATAGTCAATCAACGAAGTCAAAAGGTATTAAGCAGCCTTGACTTGAATTACAATGGAAGTGAAACGTTTCATATTCCACTCTGCAATTGTTTTTGGTTGTAGTAGCAGTATCCAGTAGCCCATGGCACAATAATAACAGATGTTACTGCAATCTATATAATTTAACTGCCATTAGAGTAGTTGATATTACTATAATCATTTGTGTAATGCTTTTGTTTTCAAATTGAGCAGGAATCGTTTGTTCGTCATGATGAATGATCTGCCAACTGTTTTTGAAGTCGTCTCCAGTGGTGTGAAACAATCTAAGGAGAGGGACAGATCCGGTACTGACAATAGTGGTAGAAATAAACTGTCAGCAAAGGTAACAAGAATCCATCATTGTTTTTACCACCTCTTCTATTATCATGTTATGATGTTGAACTTGATCTGCCTCTCCAGCAAACAAGCGAGCCACGATTAGAAAATAATGCCAGGGAGCCTGACGAGGGCTACGACGAAGACGACGGCAACCACAGCGAAACCTTGTGCGGGACCTGTGGTGGAATATACAGCGCAGATGAGTTCTGGATCGGGTGCGATGTGTGCGAGAAGTGGTACCATGGCAAGTGCGTGAAGATCACCCCCGCGAAGGCGGAGAGCATAAAGCAGTACAAGTGCCCGAGCTGCTGCAATCCAAAAAGACCTAGGCCGCTCTAGGCCTGTAGCACCGCCCTCCTCACGGGAGGACGGCCGTGGATGGAAGACTGAAACAAGCAGGAGGTCAGATCGAGCTACTCCTTGCGCAAGGTTAATACCACCTTGCGATGTTTACTGTATCTTTTCGATTAAGCTTACATATGACGAACGAACGATGGTGATGCTAATGTGGGCGGGAAGATCACACATATTGATTATAACCTTGTTGTGGTTTCTCCATGCCATGGAGAGTTATGGTAGAGTCTGTATGTTGCCAGAGAAGGAATAGGGGCAGAGGAAGCCTTTGTAACGTTTCTAAAGGTGAATTGGTCAGCTTAATAATCCGTGAGGTTTATGTTAATATATTTTATTTACTAAGACTGATGGTTTGCGTCACTAGACATGTGTGATTACGTAAGCTACCACCCACTTTGTGATAATCCTCGTCATCCGCTTCAAAAAGAGTGACATGATGCACTTCGACAACGATTTACTACTAGGCTAGGCAATTTCCCTTCGCTTCTCTCTCTTAATGCGGACAACTTTCTTATATTATGTTGCCTATTTGACCGATTATGTGGACAACATTTGCTTAATCTCCCTCTTAGTGTCATGTTTAAAAAAAATAGCACGAGATGGTTTCAGTCAATTCTGTTCGACTATCACAAAACAGCTTCTTAGCTCTTACTAATAGAGTTGGTAGTACTTACAGGGGAACTTTGAGTCACAATTTTTTTACAATTGCCCTTCTCCAGAAAATTAGCACTATTGTGATCAACGTTCATGGCTACTATAGATTGTTTCATTGCATATGGGTACATAGCAAGCTACCAATAATTCTCTGGACATTCATATCTTCGTCATTCTTAACTTGTGTTCGATTGCATAATTGTTAGACAACTGACCGCGGGTATCACTACCTTAGAATAGCTACATAAACATTTGCTATTCGAATTCAACTTGTCATACTATTTATCACTTGTAACATCCGCTTCCTGTCCAGAGAAAAATCACGATCACGAAAGTGCCAACTTTCTATGGTTTACAGTGACAATGACCATTCTGAATTGATAGCATCAAAAGAGATGTGCAAGGTGGCTGGCGAATGCTATGATAAAGTATTAAGCCAACCTTTATATATGTGCGGGTCCTGGTCCAGATAGCCAGCAGGTTATAGCCACATCAGGTGAAACTTTCAACTAGCTTTTGCTGTTTAATTCATAGTAGTAATCCAACACTACAAGGAACAGATAGCACAACAGCAATTCAACACTACGAGTAACACAGATATCATAGTAGCAATTCAACACTGGGAGATCTCCAGCTCCAGCACCAGCCATCAGGTTCTTGCATGGAAAAGGACCCATTCTGGCAAGGACAAAGACCCCGATCCGCTATTTTCAGTGTTTCTTTGATTGTTACCGGAGTTCATCGACTTGAATAGAGAATATTTTTGAGGAATCTGAAATGTGAACATGTTGTCTTCTTAAGAATTTGGAGCAGCAAAACCCAGTTTTACCTGAACAGGGGTGCGCACAGAACAAGGGCAGAGCAGACAACGGAAGACTAGGGTTTGTGGTCTGGATCAGAACCTAAACTTGCCTAACAGCACGCTTGCCAGTTGCCATACATCATTGGTTGATGAGCTGCCACCAGGGAAAGACAAAACACATGATGCAAGGGATCGATAGAAACTCTGCAAAGCATATTTTGCTACCACCTTTTGAGTTGCTTCTGTTTTCAAACATGACAGTGGATTAGAGTATGTTAACTGCCTCAACTAGGTTACAAGACCAAAACTGCAACCATCATGAATTGGGGTTTCTACGTAAAGTGATGTTGAATGTATAAATCAAACATGCATCCGATCACAGCTTGTAGACTGGTGTGATCCCGAGCAGGTTGAAGCACTGTCGCATGACAACAGCAGTCGCTTGGCAAAGCAACAAGCGGCTCGTCTCCTCCGGTGACCCGACCACCTGTTGGGATCAATGCAGAGTGGGAGTGGTTAAATAGCATCAGGTCATTAGCAGACTGTATTGCTGTTGTATGGAAATCAACGGGTCTTTTTGCAGTTTGTATGAGCTGATGCCAATCTAAATAGTAAATACACAAGAAACAATGCAAGATTCATTTGAAGAGGGGAAGAGTGATGCAAATGGAAAGAAGTATACCTGGCAGTTGGTATAGAATTTTGTGAACATTTCAGATAGATTGTACAAGTATTCACACACAACATTTGGAAGTAGATTCGTGCAGGCCTCTTCAACAACCTGAAACATATTGCAGTGCAATCAGAAAAGGCAAATTGTAGTAATTTCAGTTGAACTAGATTGCACCTGAAGTCAAACAGAAAATTGTTCGAGGAGTATACAACAAGAAAAACATTCTTGCAGTATCCAAGAAGGAAAAACATACAGCAAAAAGCCAAAAAGATTCCCAACACCCAAAAATGCCTTAAATTACCATGTATGCTCTCAGACCAAAACTAGACCTGACCAGCGACTCAACACTGGCATTGCTATCCTGACTTCCAAAAACTTATATAAAATAAAGTTCACTAATAGTGAGGAAAGGCACCTCTGCAAAGCGGATAAGATATAGCCCCAACACGCGCTCATCAGGATGGTCGAGAGAAATGGCTCCGCTCTAGAAGAAAACAGTAAGAAATTTTCAGCTCATGACTGATAGCCAGGAGAATTGGTGCTAAACCTTCACCAAATTAATGACAGTCTGCACGAGTAAAACATAAAGCTTACCATCTTCAGCTCTTCCACATCCTTGTTGGATTTCCGAATAATGGAACAAATACGAGCATGTGCATACTGAAGGTACACAGCAGTATTTCCCTGTTCACATAGAGAACGAACATGGGCATAATGATGATCATGTTAACAAAGTTCCCACAGTGCATTCTATGAAAATAGTCTGATTAGTACCTTATCACTCAGCATCTGTTCAAAACTAAATGTGTAATTAGTCAGCCGATTATTCTTGAGATCAGCATACCTGTAGTAAAGTTACAGAAATGCATTATGATAAATTGGATTATCCCTAAAATACTTAGTTATTTCTTAGTCAAATCAAGAGATGCATCTTTCTAAAACATACTTCACAGCACCATATCCAACTGCCTCTGAAGTTTGCTCTAATTCCTCATCCGTCCAGTCAACAATTTTGCCTGAACAAAAATAATGAGCATATTTACCTGACGGATAACAATACGGTTCCAAAATAGTCCAACTTACGATTTTCAGTAAGCCGTTGTAGTAGTTCTGATTTACTCCGAGATTTAGCCTCATCAAGTAGCTCTACCAATCGAACAACCTCAGTACTGCGGGTTCGGAAACGCTTGCCATCTGAACCAAGAACAAGACCAAATCCAACATGGCTTGTTTTCGGAAACTTCTTTTCGCTTGGATCTGGGAGCCAACCGGCCATCTTTGCAGCCTGTAGAAAGTTGGTAGTAGATTCAAATATATACACAGTAAATGGAAAACACCTTGGTGCCACTCCGTGCTTACACTGAAAAACATGTCAAAGTGCTGCTGCTGACCAACATCTGTTACATATATGATCCACTCTGCCTGCTCAACATTGAGCCGATACCTCCATAAAACCATGGACAAAAATATTAAATCCACATACATTCTGTTTGCTTCAATAGAGAAAACTGAATGAACCCTCGAAAGCACAAGCACTTACCAAAGAGCAGCTAAGTCTGTTGAGGCATAGTTGAAGCCACCATCACTCTTAACCACTATCAAAGGGATTTGATGACCTTGAATAAATATAACTCGGGCACCCTCACTCTCCTTGATCAAGCCTTTGTTATTCAATTCCTCCAGCACTTGAGGAATATAAGGATTATAGAAACTCTCCCCCTGAAAGGTGCTACATTAATTAGCCTAAACCAATGGCCTGGTCAGCTGCTTCATTGAAGAGGCAGACAACATGAGCATAAACATTCAACAATACCAATTGATCAAACTTTGATTAACAAGTTGACAAGGGATACAAATTGTCCTGTTAAAACACAGATATGCATGTACTTTTTCTGTGAAAAAATGAAAATGGTGAAGTTGATGTGAACAGGAATGTCGTTAAGACAATGCTAGAAACCAAAATTTAGATGTGAATCAAAGCCCAAAATATCCATACAAGTAATTTCACCTCACGCCTAGATTCTGTTGGCAACCAACCTTTCCATCAAAAATATATGTTTCAACTACAATGTATTGTACCTTTTCTTCAAGCACCACATTTAGGCGCTTGTAGACCAAGTCAAATTCGCTCCTGCTAACGTCACAAATTTTTTTCCATGCTTCTCGATATTTCTCCTCCCCTCCCTACAGACAATGCTTGGATGAGAACATGTCAACCTTCCCAAAGTCGACATCCAAAATGAAGCATTCACCTGTAGCCGAACAACTCCTTGTTGAGCCCTTGCTTTAAATTCTGGATCATTGTCAAACTTATGCTTGGATGCTTTATAGAAAACCTGTGTCATATAACCAAGTTAAAATGTCAGTCCCAATGGCAGGAACAAGACACGTTGTCATATGGCAAAAAAAATGCCAATTTCCAGCACTTATTTTAAGGGATCCATTGATTTTGAAACACACAAGTGCTTCGATGGACTATGAAGGGAAACAGGCAACCAACTATGAAGTAGGTAGCAGGATGCTCAACTTATAACAAGAAACTACCAACGAAAAGCAAAATCCAATGTGCTAACCCCCTCATGAACGATGAAACACGCGTTGAGGAGATAAGTATAGGAGACAATGTACTGGATTTTAGCATGACGCCACAATACAATCACAACAGTAATTTATGCAAACACTGACAAGGCATAAGCCACCGCAGCAATAATACTGTGCATAACAGTTAAATAAGCATTTGAGTGTAGAATACAGTCAGAGCCTATTAATTTTGACCAAAGATATATTGTAAGTGTTTGGATATATGGTTTGAGTTAACTTGGCATCATATTTGGCTTTCATGTTTGCATGCTTTGT